CTGTGGGGGAGGGACATACAAAGCAACAAAGAGATAATCTTATAAATGCGTTAGAAACACATGCATGAAAGAAAAAAAAACATTAAAATACACATCTAACGGTTCATTTTCCTGACATCACATTATCTGACCTTTTCCGCCAAGCACTTTTTTTTTGGGGGGGGGTCAGTCGTGGGTCTTGAACTCTGGGCCTGGGCACTGTCCCTCAGCTCTTCAGCTCAAGGTGAGCGCTCTACCACTTGAGCCACAGCGCCACTTTGTGTTTTCTAATGGTTTATTCGAGATAAGAGTCTCATGGACTTTACTGCCCGGGCTGGCTTTGAACCACTATCCTCAGATCTCAAGCCTCCTGAGTAGCTAGGATTACAGGTGTGAGACAACGATGCCTGGCCCAAGCACTCTTCTGGAGCTATTTCTCCAGGGGGCCTACATACTCCAAAAGCTACAAGTTTCCAGTTTGGGGCCAGGTTCAGTAGCTCATACCTGTAATCCATGCTTCTTAGGTAGAGAGCTGAGGGGATCCTTTTCAAGGAGAGCCCCTGAAAAAAAAAACTAGCAGGACATCATTTCAACATAAAAGCCTGGTGTGGTGGTGGTTCAGTCTTATGATCTCTACTATGCAGGAGGACTAGTTCTGGCTGGCTTGTGGGGTAAAAACAAAAGACTCTTATCTAAGAAATAACTAAAGTTAAAAAAAAAAAAAGGGCTGGCAACATGGCTTAAGTGTTAGGGTACTGAGACCCTGAGTTCAAACCCCAGTACCAGCCCCACCAAAAAAAATCCAACATTTCCATGCCCTGAAGTATTCTTGACTCATTTCTTATAACTTTGCTGAAGAGTATCATTTGAGATAAGGTATTTAGTAGGGAACATTTTTTTTTTGAACTTGAGCATCCAAAAGGATCCTTCTCACAACTAAGATTTCAACTGAGCCCAATTCCTGGTTGGAATTTTGAACTTAATGCTTCAGAATTCTGAAAGTTTCCTTGGATCTTATGGAGTTTCCACATCATACTAATTTCTAGTTCCTTACATGTGATTTTTCTTCTTTCCAGAAAATTTTAAAATAATTTATACTTTTTTTGTTTTAAAATTCTGTGAGAAAGTATCTTGTGGGATCTTTTTAGGTTTGTACTGGGCACCTGGTAGCCCTTTCAACTTGAGAGTAAGTTTTCTAGATCTAGAAAGTTTTCTTGATATTTCTTGAGTAACTTCCTTCTCTTCATTTTCTTTATTCTCTTTTCATGTAACCCCTATTTTTCAGATGTCAGCCTACCTGGTTTAATCTTCTAATTCTTGTTTTTTTAAAGTTGTTGTTTTTGTGTGTTTTGTTTCTTTTGGGTGCCTATACTGTGGCTTGAACTCAGTGTGTAAATTCTGTCCCTGAGCTCTTTTGCTTAAGGCTAGCACTCTACCACTTGAGCCACACCTCCATTCCTAGCTTTTTGGTGGTTAACTGGAAATGAGTCTCAGGGACTATTCTTCTCATGCTAGCTTTGAACAGCACTCCTTAGATCTCAGCCTCCTTGAGTAGCTAGGATTACAGGCATGAGCAACCAACACCTGGCTTTGTCTTGTAAGGCTTTCTCCATCTTTTTCTCCCAAAAGCTGAGATGTGATCACATTTATCCTTTATCAATTACTATTATTATGTATTACTACTGCCTTCCTAATCTTCTCTTTCTTATGTACTGAGTTTTGTAATCAGGGCCTCAGACTTGCATGGCCACCACTTGAGCCATGCTCCCTTTTTCTCCTACTATTCCATCCCTCTCTACTGGAAATTCTTGAGGAGTCCTGACTTCTCTTCCCAGGCTGGCTTTGAATTAAATCTGTCACATCTCAGTCTTCTGTATACCTGGGATTGCAGGATTACACTACCAAAAATGGTTCACTCTCTTAGTTTTTAAACGTTTTTTCTTATTCTCTGGACATCTCTTTATCTTTCTTTCATGAGTGTAATTTTATCTTCTGAGACTAAAAATAAATTTTTAATTTTTCTTGCACTTTTTTCTTTTCACTATCTATGTTTCCTTGTTTTCTATCTTACTAAAATTTTTGTTGATCCTGAATTTTCTGTGAGTATTTGGAAGTGAGGCAGAATGCTGCTGGGAGCGCTTTGCAGTCTGTGGGGGCTGTCTATGGAAAGACTTGTTCAAAGACTGCTGTGGGGCCTTGGCCTGTCTGCCTCCCCTCGCAGTGCACCCTAGTTCCAGATGACCTATCGGCATGGACTGCTGCTTCTGACAAGTTTTTCTCTGCATTAACAAAATCTGAGTCTTTAGGGTTTTATTTTTTTAAGACTTTATTGTTATTATAAAGTTCAAGTACAGAGGGGTTACAGTTCATAAATCAGGTAATGAATATTTTCTTTTTGGACAATGTCACCCCTTCCCTTACTCTCTCCTAGTTTTTCCTTTCCATCCTTACCCACAAGTTGTACTGCTGCATTTGTTCCCCTTTCTCCTTCCATTTTTGTGCCTTCCTTACCCTCCCAAAGACAGATAAACACACAACAAAAAGAAAACAAAAACAACAAAGAGTTCATTTCAATAAATATTATTTCATATGAACAGTTTTATCTGTGTTTCACCTCCATCTCTCTCCTAGGTTTGAGCCTTCTGTCTCTTCTAATCTTGCCTTAGCTCCTACTTGTCCTTCCAATGTCTCCTTTCCATCTTTCACCCTGCTCTGATCCTTAAGCTGCTATTGATTTTTTTTTGGCCAGTCATGAGACTTGAACTCTGGGTCTGGGAGCTGTCCCTGAGCTCTTCAGCTCAAGGCTAGCACTCTATCACTTGGGCCACAGCACCACTTCCCTCAAGCTGCTATTATAAGGTCAATCAAGACAGGGACGGTTAGAATTACAGACTCTTTTTTCACAGTCCTGGGCTAGGGTCTGAGGTCAGTTGCCGGTATGGTTGGCACTTGGTGAGGATTCTTTATAGGTTGTAAGCCGTCTTGTATTGCCAATGACAGTAAGAAGGCTCTAGGTCCATCTTATGAGGGCACTAATCTTAGTTCCCTGTGTTCTATCCTCATGACCCAACCACCTCCCAGAGGCTTCAGATGTCCAAATACCATCATGAGGAAAAATAGATTTCAATATTTGAATTTTGTGGGAACACAAACATTAAAACCTTTCAATTGTTTCCTAGTACTTAGTGTTAGTTTCTTTCTTCAGCCATGATGTGTACTCCTTAAGATTGCAGGCCATTTCACATATTTTTGGTGAAACCTCACCACCCACAACTGGCTATAGCTAGCTGGACACTTAGAAGAAGAAAAACCAATAGGTAATGGAAGTCTTACGTGGTAAATGCAAAGATTTCTTTTTAAATCCTTTTATGCATCCATGTGCCACTTCAACTTGGTAATATATTTTGAGGGCAATGAAGAAAATCACGAAATTTTCCAAAGGACATCACTTTCCTCTTTGCTTCCCTGATCAGAATCTGCCAGTCAGTAGCTTCTTCCTTGGAAGTTCCTGGAAGCTCTCATCAGGACAATCTCAATTGTTCACTAGGAACCACAGAAGTCCCACTGCAATGAAGTGTGTGTGTGTGGACAGGCTTCAGATGTATCCTACACAACTTGACACATTATTAATTGAAGTTTGTCAATAATTAACATTTAAAAGCTACAAGCTAGAAATAATCAGAATTTGGCACCAAACAAGAAGATTCAAATTTAAGCATCTACAAGAGGGAAAACAAAGAGAAAACAAAGCAGGCAGCCACCATGGCTCCAGGTGGACCACTATTCTTGTTTTCTTATTTTTTCCTCTCCTATGCTCTGGCAACTCAACCTAGACAGAAGAGAGCAGCAGCATAGCTGTGCGCTGGAAGCTGACTCTTGGAACTGGGTGAGGCAGCCACAGCAGCAGTGCACAAGAAGACAAAGTGGCTCTACACGGTAACTACAAAAGTCCTCCAGGGCCGCTAACCCCCGCAACGGCCTCAGCGGAGGCCCTACCTGCAGGTATCTACCTCCTGGAATGGGTATGGCCGGTCCTAATGCTGGCAGGTGGACACAGTGGAGCCTCTAACTCCAGTAAAGGTTTTGGTGGATGGGAACTTTAACAAAAGGAATGGACTCCATGGGTCTCTAACACCAGCAAGCAGACACACCAGGGGACTCTTAAAGACCCACCCCCAATGCACTCCCACACACAGGACACTGCCAGTGCCCCACCAGTGGTCTGTACCCAGCCAAGCCAGAACGTGTACCCCTGAGGGGGCTGACACCAGTTAACCACAACACCCACGGTCTGTGCCCAGCTGGGCCCAGAGGCTCTCCAGTGCATTTCCAGGAAGAAAGCACCTGGGGGAGGGGAGGGAAAGGCTGCATGCAGGTGGACCCATAAACCAGCATTTTCACTCCTGTATAAGAAGCCCCTGCTCACAGTGTCAAGGGTTGTGGCCAGAGAGCTGTCAAACCTGCCAGGGTAACCCTATGTGGGACACCACCATCCACGGTGTCTGGAGTCTGCCCCTAGCCAGCCCTCAAAAGCCAGTCCATGCTTTTACACGCAGGACACCCTTACCCACAGTGGGGGTCTATGCCCAGCCCGCCCCAGAAGCCCAGCTGAGCATCCTTGTGTGGGATGCCTCCAGCAGCCCACAGCACCTTGGTTCATGCCTAACCAGGCCCAAAGGCCCAGACATGCAACCCCTATACAGTGTCATCAGACAGTGCTGGACCCAAAAGCCTACCCATACCTCTCCAGAAGACACCCACAGCACAGCATATACAAAACCAGGAAACCACAGCCCATTACCACTGAACCTAACACCTAATCTTAAATTCTACAAACCCTGAAACCAGATGCATAAATCACAGCCAAAGATCACAAATTTCATGAACAATCAAGACAACGTGCCACTCTCAAAAGCAGCAACTCAGAGGAGGACTCTAATTGAAGAGCAAAGAGGAAGGGGGGGGGACACACAAAAGAACCATTAGAGCAATGATGGGAACTGCCCACCAAATTAAAAAGGCAGATCTACACAGAAGACTACAGTGAGGAAAGAATGAAGAAAATGCAGGAGATCCAAGATGACAGCAACAAGAACATAGAATCTTTACAAAACCTCAATGAAGGAAATAAATTATAATTAACAAGGAGATAGACACCATGAGGACTGACATCAACAAAGAGCTAGGAAACATGAAAGGCTCTGACTTCCTATTGCAAAGCACAGTTGAAAGCATAGGCAATAGAATAGTGAAGTAGAAAACAAGGTATCCAGAGTTGGGGGTAAAACTGAGGAATCAGAACAAAAAATCAAAGCATGGAAAAAAAGCCACTCAGAACATCCAAAAGGATGTTCAAAATCTGGCAGATTGGACCAAAAGATCAAACTTACCCATAATTGGGACAGATGAGGGAGGAGAATTAAAAACTAAAGGCATTGAAAACAGATTTAACAAAATAACAGAAAAATTCTCTATCCTCAACAGAGAGTTGGAGAAATCCACCTGACAAAGACAT